GTAACAGGAATGACGGGACTACCGTCAATACTGACCTGAAGCGATATGGGGATTTTAAAATGATTAAATCCCTTTCTGTTAACAAATCCCTATATAGTGAAAAAGTAATAGCGGTAGAAATTTCAGAGGTGTAGTATTTGATGGTTTTAAAGAGGTTTCTACTGACTATCTAATCTGAAACCGATACAGAATCATACTAGGTCTGAGATTACAAAGACTATCCATCCACGGATGAGGAACCCTTTAACAGTAGGTATAAACTGGTTGTTTTACGAGCAGGAACCCATCGGGAACTGCATTTCTAAAGAAGCTTTAGGTTTTCCTCAACACTAATTTATCAGTGAATAGTCAAAAATGATTGCTGCTACTTACGGGAGTTGTGAACCTTTGAACGATATGTTGAATTAGATGAACTGATTGCTAAGTAAGATAGTCGGTACCCGCAGTGATTTCACGAGAAATCTGTCAATGTATACTAATTGCACTGACTTTCATCAGTAATGTAAGTGATATTCCTGACCATACAATATCGAGAACCCTAAGGGTCGTTACAAGCTATGAATTGATGACAGCGAGTTGCAGTGTAGTTTTGCTAAAAGATTTGGGATGTTATGTCCGTACTAGTGTCGCGAGTTGCTTGGGCAAAGAGATATTTTAAAATATCATGCCATATTGTGTTAGAACCCTTATGCAGTACTGTATCCAATCACTCATTACATCCTTCGCAACTGAGACCGATACTCCGAGAAACATACAAGTTGCTAAACGAAGAGTTTGCAATTTTATTAAACGATTACCAGCTGAAATAGGTTAGTAGAAAAAGTAATACTAGCTGCACACGTGAAGGGACTTACAATGTGACAGGATTTTGTGGGAATAACTAATGCGGGGACTAACACAGACCATCTGTAATCTTTCCTGAATAGATCTCTAGTGACAAGTTATCCCATAGATAAAAATTTCTAAGGATAGTTCTTGAAATGAAGACCACTTCATAGAACATGTGGAAACATTCTAAACCTTCTTTCAGAACTAGAGGATTCCTTGAAAAGGCATAAGACTAGTAGAATAGTGGGCATTATACTTAAAACACATTACCTAATATCGATCGATCTACACATAAGAAATAAGATTTCCAAGCACAAAGAAATATGGGATAAAATTCAGCATTACTTATTTCTGCGAAGTTATATAATGACTTTAATTTGCAATGTACCGTTTATATATATATATATATATATGTATATATATACAAACGGCATTGCTTCAAATTGAAAGGACTGTTCGAATATTTTGGCTCAAAAATCTAAATAAACTACTCGCACTAGCGAAATTTACTTCTGGATAATTTATACGTGCTTTCCGAAAAAAGAACAGAAAGTAGGCGAAGGACAATCTTAAAAATACGACAAATATGAAAGAAGCGTACATGTCAAGCAACGCGCACTGCACAAAGTTCCAATAAAACCAGTAACTGTGTGACGAGCATGTATAAACGGATTGATTTCTTAGAGATCCCTCCCCGTTGCTTCGTTACAGTTCCAGGTATTTGGTACTATCCAGTAGGCGGTAGTCTAGTTACCTGACTGCATTTCTTTTAGTCAAATGGTTCAAAAGGTTGTGGACGGAATAGAAGAAACTTTCGCTTAGCAGGCTTCCATCTCTAGTGGCAGTAGATCACCAATGCCTCCAGGCAGGAACCTAGGTATGTTAACCATAATAGATTAGAAAAAAAGATATTGGGAACTCATAATAAGATGTTATCCGTAGTCCTTAAGAATAGGTCAAGTTGCCCCTTAAATGACTCCTGGAAGTCGCTTGGACTAGCTCAGCCGGCAGTAAATCCCAGTATTTGACAAGTCTTAAGGTGTAAAATTTGTGTTTACAGCCCGTTCTACTGTGTTGTGTCTCTAGTTTCTGGGCGTTACCACTTGGGTTTGTGCTGGAGCTAAACTTAAATAGGTGTTTAAGGGGATGTCCGGAAGTGTCAGGGATACTGTAAGCCATCAGAAAGTCACCGTTAAGACGCCTGCGCTCCAGTATGTAAAAGTTAAATGATTGAAGGCGTTCTTCATAAGGTTTGAGTTTGAGTCTCCGAACTGACTTTGTGGCTCGCTCCAGAGTGTCCTTATCCATTTGGAGTGAGGGGGGAAGTACTATATTTCCATACTCTAAATGGAGACGAATGAAAATGTTGAAGATTTTGTGGAAAGTTATTCCGTCAAACTTGCCGAAAATGCGCTTCAATGTTGCCAGTACAAGGTTTGCTCGAAAGGCATTTTTGTCACAGAGTTTGACTTCAAATCGTAAGATACCAGCACTCCTAAATCTTTTTCGACTCGGGACACTACTAGGGAGGAGTTTCATAGGTTGTAACTGTAGTTTGCGACATGTCACGAATGGACTACTTCACATTTTGAAGTGTTAAAGTCCGTTATCATCTGTTCAAATTTGAAGTGGGGTCAGATCCTCCTGAAGTGCCTGCATATCGTCTTGGTTGCGTGTCTCCCTCCAAAGTTTCACGTCATCAGCAAAAAGTAATAAGTCTGGCCATACATGTTGTAGAAGATCATTTACATAAATCAAGAAAAGAAAAGGTCTCAGTACGGAATCCTGAGGGACCCCACTAGGAAATTCCATGGCCTGAGATGAAGTGAAGCCAACCCTGACCTTCAAATGTTGATTTTTCAGATATGAAATGAGCCAATCAATTAGAGGTGGTCCGATACCCAATCGTTTGAGCCGATTGATAAGACATATATGGTTAACCCTATCAAAAGCTTTTGAGAGGTCAAGGTAAATGATATCAACCTTCCCCTTGCGATCAAGGATGCTTGTCCATCTGTCAACCACAGTCAGCAGGCTGGTTGTACAACAGTAACCCTTCCTGAAACCATGCTGTTGGGCCGAAAAGAAGTTTAAGGATAATAAATCGTCGTGTATACCATCGCATATCAGGGACTCCATAAATTTTGAAAGTATAAGGAGAAGAGCCACCGATTGGTTGCTTGGGGGTCAACTGCGTCGACCTCCTTTGAAAATTGGTGTGATGTGTGTCAGCTTCCAATTTTCCGGTAGTTTGCCTCGGCATAGCGAGTGTGAGAAAATCACGCTAAGCGGTGTTGTCAGGATTGCAGCTTCTTCCCTCAGTATAGCAGAATGAAACATTATTTGGACCAGCAGAAATGCCGCAGTTTCCGGAACACCAAGTCAGCGCTCAGGTTCACTTCGGAAAGACTTGTGCAACTGCAGATGAAGCTTTCATATATATATATATATATATATATATATATATATATAGCTAATGTAAGTCGATTTAAATGTCCAGTAATATTGTTAGCGGCGTCACCGTCAGTAAGTAAGTAGGTAAGTAAGTAAGTAAGTAAGTAAGTAAGTAAGTAAGTAAGTAAGTAAGTAAGTAAGTTAGTGGTACTCCAATCAATCGACTGCATTAATTCTAGTTAGTTCACTAGATATTCATAGGTTTATATATTGTGTAATCTGAGTGAGTGTGTTCTTCTTTGAGCAGTAGGGTTTCTGGATATCAACAACTATCACACTAAAAAATAAGAGGTTAGTTTGTCAGTTTCGATGTAAAAACAAAAAAGTGAAATTCGAATTCCGAGAGAAGACGATTGTTGCAAGGACTAATTAAACAAATTAATCGATTAGTAATACAGACAGTATGAAACGACCGAATGAGCGGGGAAACGGAGATAAGAATAGGCGAGATAGGAGCAAGTTAATGATGTGTGATAGTGATGATGACAGTAGGTAAGTGTTGTAACTTGTGACCCTGTTCCTCTACAAACATATAATGTAATGATACCACCAATTTAAGAACAGTGAATTATCAACCGGACCAATGACGCATAAAACCCGTACGGGCATTCTAGGGTTCTTATCGGTCCTTTTTCCTGCCTAGACCTACCTGTTAAGTGCAGAACACCAATCTCAGCCTGTGTGTAATAGATCATGTATTTCAAGCATACATGGATCGACCAGTTGGGCTGATGCCACAACCAGCGATATATCGTAACAGTAATTATAACCCCAAGCATATATTTTGCGGAAACATAACATATACGATAACTTTGGATTTATACATACATCGCTTATTTATATGAGAGATTGATGTTCATTGTACAAGATTCAGGGCTAGCTGGAAACAGAAAATCTATGGATATATGATGTCAACACTTTCTTAACTCTACTTTATCCAGATGGAGGCCACACACTTGCCAAATTTTCGATGTCACTGAGACTCATGGAATTTAATCTGGCAGACAATGCCTACAAAAAAGCACAAAATGAAGTCGGTTGAGTGAGGCCAGTATATACTAATAAACTTGTGAAATTTGAAATAGAAAAGAAAGTTGAACTTACGTGTGTAATCTCATATGAAAATAAGTTAGTCTAATAGACGGTTCTTAAGTATTTTGCTCACAATTTTTACGTGACACCAAGTCATCCTAAAAGTACCATACGTAGAAATCAACATAAACCACTGTTGATGACGTAGTAATTATTAAGACATACATAACCTGGGAGGAGTTGAGTTTGAATGCCAAGTGGCTCACTTAATGTTTATACTGACTGGGGAGACTTATTCACGTCATTTAATTACATTTTTCGTCGCTAGTGATAGTGATTAGAGTGGGAAATGGATGGGTTCGGTTGTAAATCTCCGAATTCCCGGATATATACCCAAACATTTCCTAACTTGAAGTGCAATGAAGGTTGGTGTCGGAGTAGTTTAGGAAACTAAGAGAGGCCAAACCAAAACAGCATTAGTCTGTGACTGTTGGTCTGAGTTATGTTTGGTAGATAGACTATCCGTTTGGGGTCCGTATGAAAACTGCAATCAGTGGATGGAAACTGGATAACATACCTGAGACTGTAATTCATGGACGATCTTTGGACAATGCCAGTGACCTTGGTGAAAAACCACTTACAAGGGTCAAAAGAGAGTTATAAATCAGAATCTACAGTTAAAGTTAAGATTAGTAATTAATGTTAGAGTTGTCATCAACTATAGTGTTAAAATGCTATCTAACCAAATAGGTGGATAGATTTCGAGCCAAATATCCAAGACTTTCTATCTTAGATCTTATTGGTTCACTCATAAGTTAGTATCAACCCACTAATGCTGTTACAGCTTATACAACTGACATTTTCTTGTGCTGGCGTGGTATGTTAACTTGAAAAGATGGATATGCATCGAACTTTACGTTATGTACAGCTAGTGGGACGACACTGCTGAAAAATCGTACTCTCAGTATATCAGGTATGTGGACTTTTACAATGATAAGACGAAGTAGTGTTGACTTTACACTATAGACAAGATTACGTCTAATGAAATTTCTTCTATATATACTACTTGGGGCTTTGCCGCACAGAAATACAAACTTAATACTTAAAAACACCTCAGTATCGAAACTTTCCCTCGAGATTACTGTGTACCAATCATGAAGTATCGACCGATTATTAAACAATTCACACGGCTTTGATTAATATAGATAATGGAGATTATCTATTACACAGTAGTACTTCACCCATAGAATGAACGCAGCGCTGCATTCCAAAGAACTAGTTCGCAGTCACGATGTCTTTGTGAAGTCAAGAACTGAGTTGATTAAGGGAATGTCTGCGTTCGAGAAGGATTTGAAGAGAGAATATTTGAGGCCATCTTTCAATAAATAACAACTAGGGGAATATATATATGTCTACATTACACATATGACAAATGTTAATGATCAATATGTCACTGGTACTTGTGGCTTGATAGATACACACTTTAATATCATGAGAAGCACTTGGGTTAATCAACTTACCTGAAGAAATTTCGAGACCACAAAATCCGGATTAACTTCAGGAAGTTTCTCAGCCAAATACTTGCGCAAAAGAGACTCAAAGTCACTTCGTTGTGGTGCACTTTTTGTTAGTAAGGTAAGTCTGTCTCCATCCCTGATTTCATAATTTAGTAGAGGCTTGTCTTTGTCTGGGACATCACATAGATACTATTAGTTAACTACCTAATAAAGGACATCCTTTAAAGACTAAGCGCTGATACTCAGGATCAATATCAAAGGCACACTTCACTGCGGCCAATAGATCTGAAACGTATGCATCATCATCCACCTTCGTAGAGTAAGTCTAAGGAACGGATGAGAACATACCTGGACTACTTTCTCAGCACGCGTAAGAGGCTTTACCGTCAGTTGCATTTAAGGCATAAATAGCGCCTATACCAATAGACAATATCTTTGTGACGGGGTTCAATAACCAATATGTCGAATAATCTTTTGACGGACTCTTATAAACCGAATAACTTTTTGAGGACCCTTCTTGTTGTTTCATTACGGTTACACGAATTTGGTAATATCCAGAAAGCGGTACTCCAATCAATCGATTGCATTAATTCTAGTTAGTTCACTAGATATTCATAGGTTTGTATATTGTGTAATCTGAGTGAGTGCGTTCTTCTTTGAGCAGTAGGGTTTCTGGATATCAACAACTATCACACTAAAAAATAAGAGGTTAGTTTGTCAGTTTCGATGTAAAAACAAAAAAGTGAAATTCGAATTCCGAGAGAAGACGATTGTTGCAAGGACTAATTAAACAAATTAATCGATTAGTAATACAGACAGTATGGAATAACCGAATGAGAGGGGGAACGGGGATAAGAATAGGCGAGATAGGAGTAAGTTAATGACGTGTGACGGTGATGATGACAGTAGGTAAGTGTTATAACTTGTGACCCTGTTCCTCTACCAACAAACAATGTAATGATACCACCAATTCCAGAACAGTGAATCATCAACCGGACAAATGACGCATAAAACCCATACGAGCAGTCTAGGGTTCTTATCGGTCCTCCTTCCTGCCTAGCTTTACCTGTTAAGTGCAGAACACCAATCTCAGCCTCCGTGATATGGATCATGTATTTCAAGCATACTGGGTTTATATACAAACCAGACAGGCCGCATCACACCACAAAATAGAAAACAACATTTGTACGAAGATATAACCAAAAGTGACTGTGAGTGTGAGAGACAGTAATGAATAGACTGGACAGAACTCAGAGACAGTAAATCGTATAATAATAGTCTAGGGGTCAAAATAAAGCTCATAATAAGAGGAACTTGCATATGCATAGTTTAGCTATTTAATAATTATACAATAAAAATATATGTATGGTGTTGGTCCATAAACAGTTCTCAAGAGTTACCATTCATAATTCTCGTCAGGATACGACAGTCAGTCACGAGACATGTACTAGGTACAACTTATCGAAGCACGACATTGTGATCCATGGGTTAGTTGACATTTATAAAATATCCTCTCGAAGCCACTCTATGAGGAGTCTCGGGACACTTCGACTGGAAGAGCATTCCGAATGATAACAACTCTGAATGAGAAAGGGTGAGAGAGTGCCTGAGCTTTTGCCTTTTGATGAGCAATTTGTCGGGATTGACTCGAGGGACATGGTGGTAATGTTCTGGTAGGGTGTTCGCTTTTGAGTACCTTGGCGAACATAGTAGGTTGAATGCCATTATCACATCACATGTTGTTCCATTATAACTCTGCAAGAATAATCCCAAGTGTCTGAGTCTGTCTCCTTGGGATTCATTCGATAACTTTACCAACCAATCAGGCACTCTTTTTTGTACTTTGTCTGAGATGGTTGCGTCTTCCTTGAAGAGAGTGAGCTTAACAGTATTGTGGAATTTGAAGTGAGGCTGTGTGTATGTTTATGTGTAGTGTCAGGAATGATTGTGAAGCGATTGTGTTGATTTGTATTCGTATAAATTGAATCTTTGCATTTACTTTAGCTGCATCACCAATTCAGCTTTCAATATGAAATTGAATAAGTGCTTCGTCAAGAGACGAATTTTAGTGCAACTGATTCGGTTACTTGTTTTCAGTTCATTGGTTACTGCCGCAGGATTCAGGCAAATGGTGAACACATTTATACCTGTATGCTTTCCATGGGATATGTAGACTGTCGTCTAAGCGTCTATATGTGCACGTACCATACATTTCTAACCTCCCCCATCTATTCCTTGGCACCTACTTTAGGATGAATATTTCTACGAAGTGTTCATCCAATACAGGCACGTAAATCCTACTTTGCGTGTTTACCATGTTCCAGGTTTGACTGAACGAATAATGTTTTCAAGCTTATTCATGTGAGGGTTTAGGTCCATATTCCATGAAAAAGATGAAAAGCCCACAAATTCTTCTAGAAGTCACGGTTTCGTTCCGTTGTGCTGCAGTGTATCCAATGTCAGCTTCCGATGCATTGCTAATATCAAGTAAAATGAGTGGAAGAGCGTTATCCCTCCGTGAGACATTTTTGGCTGAGTGAAGCTTTAAGCTTTCGTGAAATCATTCTACCAACCCGTTGGCTCGTAGGTGATAGGAGGCCTTTAGAAATCGTTTTATTCTTGGTAGGATGCTAGGAAAACGGAACTGGATTGGTTGAGGTTAGACATGAACACCGTTGGATACCGGCTCAGTGGTCTAGTAGGTTGAGCATTCGCGCGCAAGACTGATGGCCCTGGGTTCGAATCCCGCTCGCGGGATCGTAGATGCGCACTGTTGAGGAGTCCTACAATAGGAGGAAACGGCCATTCAGTGCTTCCAGGCTTTCAGTGGTGGCCTAACATCAGTCGGTTCATGATCTCTATAAATAACTTAATAATCTTCACAACCCTATATTTATATTTGTTGTGTCTAATCAACCTACATTTCTGGCAGCATGCACAGGAGCGTGCCCACTCCCTCACGTCTTTATTCACACCAAGCCGGCAAAATCGTTCTGCTGTGAGCTCGATGGTTGCACATGCATGTGGGTGAGAAAGCTTGTGCAACGTATTCAAGACCTTGCGTCCATAATATTTAGGCACGATTGGGCGGTCGCAGCCTGAGTATGCGCCACATATTAAAGTTTCCTTACTTGTTCCGATCTGTTTAATACGCAGTTCCAGGATTTTGGAAGATAACTTGTGCTGAAGATGAGTGTCTTCTTTTTGAAGCTGTGCGAATTTAAGGTCGATTCCTTGCAAACTGTTCAAAGGAACGTACACTAGACAAAACGTCCGCAATCACATTATTTGCACCTGAAATGTTTTGTATATCTGAAGTAACTTGCGAAATGTAGTCCATTTGCCGAGACTGTTGAGGGGAGTACTTACCCGAAAACAAGCTTGAAAAGAAAGTAAAAGGTTTGTGGTCGGCAAATAGGGTGAACTATTGGCCTCCTACAGAGTGTTGAAAAAACCTTACAGCACGACACATGACTAGGGGGTCCCTGACGAAAACGCTACACCTCTATTAGGTGTCAATCAACTGTCTCGAGAATAATGTCAAGGGTTATCCGGCGTTATTTATTACTCGTTCTAAGACTCTGATTGGCAGGTTGGATGCACCTACTGCGATACCAATGCGCATTTCAGTATCGTGATGTGCAAGCATAGTTGTTTTTACGACAATTTCCTTGATTATGGAGAGTGCTCTTTCTGCGATATCATCCAAATTGATGGATTTCGCATTTCCACGAGGTTTATCGCTTAAAGGTCTCATGAGAGCCAATTAATTCGGTATGAACCAGGCCGTTGAAAACGCGTGATTGCTTGACTGTGCTCGGTTCTGGGTAATCCTGATTGACCGCCACTTTGTTTTTCAGAAGTCGGATTCCTTGGGCATCAATTGTATGTCCGAGACAATGTAGAGAGTCGGCGTCAATTTGACATTTCTGAGTGCTTACTGTGATGCCATGTTTTTGGAGTCCTTCGGAGACAATGTTTTCAAATTCTAGAGATGAGATTCTCTGTCTGAACTCACTATCAAGCAGTCACCTACATATGTGTGTGCGAAGTTGTGTCCTCAAACGACGTCATAGATGAATCTCTAGAACGTTCGTGCAGCATTTCTTTAACCGAATAGTATGTGCAAACACTCGTAGAGTCCGAAGGGAGTCATTGTGGTTGTTTAAGTAGTATCATTTGAAGCCAATTGAATTTGACTATATGCTTTAGTCAGGTCGATTTTTGAAAAAACGGTTGTACCTTTCAAGGTAGCTGACAAATCGTGAATAAGTAGCAAAAGGGAAACAATCGGGAGTGGTTTCCTTATTCAATCTCTCATAGTCACCAGTTGGACGCCAATCATTGCTGTCCTTTTTAGGGACCATGTGCAAGGAGGATGCTCATGTGGTAGAATTCGTTTATGACCAACCTTAAGTTTTCAGGAGATAGTCGGCACGCTTTTGAGAATACAGATGGTCCTGTAGTCGTGATGTGGTGCGCAACATTACTGGCTACATGTGGAAATTTTAGTTGCTTTTTTACAATTCAGGGTACTTATCAATTATCCGTTGATAGAATGGGTTGCTCATGTGCCTAAAAGCGACTGGGGATAA